AGGAAGCGGAGGTAGAGCCGGGCCGGCCGCGCCTCAGCGGGAGATAACAACATCTGCCTGAAACGGGATACCTACTTTTGCAGCTCAATTTAGCTCTTAATAGCAGTCCTCTGAGGTGTGCTTAATTGATGGGGATAAAGGCGTAATGACTTGACTGGGAGACGCCAATGATCCTTTAATATACTTTTAAAAGAACAACAGCCACCCCAAACACCCGCGGGTCCTCGCTCAGTAGGGTGTGTGTGGGAGGGGGAGGTGAAGGGCAGAGGCTGGAAAAGTGCGCGGTGCTGTTCCTACCTGGAGGCGCGGGTGAGCCCGGGCAGCTCGGACCGCGCACTTGGGAGCTGACCGGGCGCTCAGGTCGGCCTGGCCTAGTGTTGTCTTGTAGCTGCTGGGAAGTAAGGGGAGCCGAGGGAGCTAGGGTTGACAAGTGGCTGGGCTGACTGGCAGGGAGAAAGCCAGAGGCGGGAAGAAGCTGTCCCTTGCTAGGCTCTGGATGGCCTCACACCTTCCAGGCCTCTCAGGCTAGGGCGACCGCGCGTCTAATGCCCGCGAAACGGTCGAGTGTTGGTGCTCTGCAGGACCTCGCAAAGTTCCGCTGTCCAGACAGCCTTAGAAGGGCCCCAGGCGCTGGGACGGAGAAGCACGCGCCGTGTGAGAGTGCATGCGCGCGCAAACCGCCCCCAAATGCAGAGCTGGGGCACAGCAGCCCTGAGCACGTGGCGGTATTGAGGCCGGGTGTGCCAGAGCCCTGAGGCCGGGCACACAAGGATTTACCTGCTCTGGAGGCGGTCCCGAAGCCAGGTCAGAGGAACCCCAGCTTCCACTTAGGACCTGTGCTCACCGCCCTCTACTCAGCAGCTTGCCTTTCTTTGGGCTAATTTCTCTTTGCATAGTTCCAGATGAATCTCTGGGGTCAAAGGAATGTTTCCTAGGATCCAAGACAGAACTGAGATTCACACAAGCATTAAAAGGACAGGGGGTGAAAAATCGGCTAGCCTTTTCTGTTTGCAAGGGGAACCTCCCCAGGATATGGGCAGCAGTGTCTTTAGCTGGTTTTATTTTTATTATTTATTTATTTGCAAACCTCTTGTTGCATACTTAGGAGAGGAATAACCTTAATGCTTCAGGGTTCTCTCCCTCTGGATGCAGAAGGAGAAACGACTGAAACCACTCTTCAAATTGATTGTTGTAAGAGATCGCAGGTGTTTAGACTGTAGCTATTGTCTACCTTAAGCACACATAACAGGGACCCAAAAAATGCCAAGAAACTGATTTTCCCCAGACCCTCTTGCGCAGCGAGTAATTGTTGCAGGACTAGCAAATCCTCGAGGTCAAGAATTTGAAGACTGGCAGTTAAGAGCCCTAACTCCAGGTGTGTGTTTTCTTGGCGTGGTCGGTCTTCTGCGGCCGCTGTCCAACCTCATTTCTAGAAAATCAAGATTCAGTGTAGCTTAGCGTTGAGCTCCCGACTCCTCCGCACCCTCAAGCTAGCCAGGATGGCGAGCTGGTTTCTAAGACCTAGTACTGTCCTCAGGCTCTTGGAATTAGGAGTAAGGCCCCAAGACTAAATTCGTGCCCTGGCTGATGACTCCTGTTCAGGTGTACCTTTCTCCCCCAAGATAAAGCAGGGGGCGGGGCGGGTTCTGGCTGCAGAACCGCTCAGACCAGGGTATCCAGGGCTTTCTGGAAGGCCCAGTGCTCTTTGGGAGGCTAAGATCCTGACCTCCCTGCGGAGCAGCCTTGTCCACTGGAGCGGTGGATCAGTGCATCCTCGCTGCTGGCAAATCCAGGCCCCTTCCCATCACAGTCAAGGGCTCTTACTCTCCTGTGTCTCCTCATCCCTAAAAGGCAGGCCCTTGTGTGGGGGTCGGGGGGCGAGTTATTCGGTCTGGGACTGGGCTTTTCCCACCCCGGCAGGAGAAGGGCAGACTTAAAAATGTCACTCTGCCAAGAGCTGCTTCCGCCAGCGAGATCCACATCCCGCCTCAGTCGCAGGGTCATTCACCCGGCCAGAGATCCGCGTGCTAGGCCTCCGCAGGACATCGAGAGGCCACGTTCTTGGTGGCATTGAAGGCCGCCAACGGGTGAGCCGGCGCAGTGGTAAAGTCGGCAGCCTGATCAGGGGGATTCAGAAAGCGACCCCAGCCCGGCCGGGGGGTGGCGCACGCTCCCCAAACCCCCTGCGGGCGCCTGGGTCCTCACTGCCAGACACCTCGGGTCATCACTGCGAAGCGCCCGGGAATGGGGCCCGCGGGAGTGTGACCTGCCCCAGCCCAGGCCGGTAAAAAGCAGTTTCGACTGAAACTGCTTTTGCGAGTCATTGCCTGTGCGTTGGCCAGAGCTCTGATTCTCGCAGTTCTCCGCGATTTGCCGGTCTAGGGGCAGCCAGAACTTTTAGGGGTGTGTGTGTGTGTGTGTGTGTGTGTGTGTGTGTGTGTGTGTGTGTGTGATAGGTCTCAGGGCACGGTTGGAGAACCTCAAAACGCATTTTTAAAATTTATATTTTAAGGAAGATCCTGAGTTTAAGAAGCTGGAGAGCTAGTCAAAGTTAACAGCTGCCATATATATACATACATAGACATGTATATATTTAATGTCCCCCTCCCGTGCATGCCTTGTCGCTGTCTGGAGGTCAGAGGACATCTTTCAGTGTTCCCTTCTCTTTCCACAGAGTTTGAGCTCAGGTAGACAGGATTGGTGGCAAATGACGTTTTACCTGCCAAGCCGTCTATCTAGTGGGCTCCTTCTATACTTTAAAGCATCCCATCTGCAAGGTAGGGTTAACACAGGAAAAAAAAAAATGCAGTGTAGTTCAAGAGGTGGCAGATTTTAATTGTGTTTCAAGCTACTGCTTTATAATCTCTCAGTTAGGTCTGTCCTGTACACCAACGCACTGAGCAGCATCTTTCTTCAGACAGGGATGGAGGAACGGAAAACACCACCACTTCCAACCGAAGTGTTGCAGGGACTGATTGCAAGGGAACTGGTGCCCCAGATGTTACACTAGCTTGGCTGCAAGTGTGAGCAGGTAATGCGGAGAGAGTGACATTGTTAACAAAAAACCATCTAATTAACAATGACTTCATTTGAGTGGAAGGATGAAGAAGCCTTTTAAATCAATCCAGATTTACAGGCCTAAGCGCAGCCAATTTATGAATATGGAGCCCAACTGGGGTCTGCTTTCTTTCAAAGATGTCATCTCAGAGGCAATAGCATAGGTGAAGTCATTTGGTTACACTGTGGAAACTTTTATAGTGCCTTCCTTGGGAATTTAATTCAGTGCTTCTTCATTTTATTAGGAACAGACCGACTCCATCAACTGGGCTCTCCCTGTTTGGAGGCAAGACTGCTTGAAGCAATTAGGCCCACAATTAGCATAGTTTTACTGACCCCAGCAGCAGTGCCACTCCTTAGAGTAGCCATTTCTTCAAAGTCAGGGAAAACCTGGGGGAGAACATGCTCCCCAGGTGTTGGGGAAATAAGCATACAAGCAGGGTGTCACCAGAGTACCAAGAGCCCCTGTGGTTGCTTCAGAAACTTTGGTGGGCTTTGGTCCCTTTCTGATTCTGACTTTGTTTAAAAACTTTTCTCCTTTGATTCTATTTTGTCAGAACTGCCTGTAAGAAAATGGATTTCCCCCATTGTCTTCTGTCCTGTGCGCACAGTATTGCTGTGGAGAATATTAGGGTCCAAGGGAGGAGGACACTGATTGACTTCTTGAAACTCTGTTAGATGACAAATTTCAGGGGTGTGTGTGTGTGTGTGTGTGTGTGTGTGTGTGTGTGTGAACCAAACTGACAAGGATCCAGCATTTAGGAGAGTGATTCGTGAGGACCAAGCGTTTATGGTCAGCCTGGGCAACAGTCTAGGCAATGTGGTGAGTTCAAGGCCTGGTTGGACTGCTCTGTTAGGAAAACAGAAACTAAACAATGTATAAGGAGAGGCTAGAAGGTAAGTGTGGGCTGATAATTCCCCCTCTATTTTGAAGGGGGCTCTGCATAACTACTCTGCAGCCCTTCCACTGTCCGTTCAACCAGTAGGTAGGCAAAGACATCCTTAGGAAAATCAGCTGCCTGGAGTTCAAAGCAGTCGGAAAAAACAGTTTTTGTTTTTGCCACTACCATGAGTGGTGAATAGTTCTATATACCTGAATATTGCTCCTTTTCTAGTGCTCTCATTCCTAAATACACATTTCTCTGTAAGATTTCACTAGATTAAATTGCTGACAGTTCATCAGTAGCAGCAACAATGTAATTCCCCTAACCTTATTAAATCAATAAATACTAGATTCATGCATTGAATTAAAAATGCATCAGCATGGCCAGGAATTGTGATCATACGGCTATAGACCTTGGGATTGAAGATGCCACTCAAAAACTAAATGCTTAGGATTTATTTAATCTAATTTTCTGTTTTGGATCAGTGATTAAGTATTCTAGGATTTCAACATTCCAGGAGCCCTTGTAGTGGTGTTTTTTTTTTTCATTTTGATTTGTTTAGTTATTTAAAAATCTTCTCAGTAACTCCTCATGTATAACCACAGAAATCATGCCTGCACGGAACAATAGTAATATCCTGTGACTTCATAGTTCTTGTTGTTACTTCTCCTTAGAATACATTAGCCTAGTAAGATATACTCATTTGCATAGATTTATACATAAAACATGAAAATTTAGATAATACGTTTTTGTTTGTTTGTTTGGGGGTACTACATACCAAATCTAAGATTTCACTCTGAGTGTATCCCCAGCCCATGCTTTTTGTATAACTAAATATACAGAGTGTGAATGTATCATTGTACATTGATTATAACAATTTTGTTTTAAAAAGAAACCACATTTATTTCTCAGCACTGCTAACTATTATAAACAAATTTATCACTTTAAAATGCTATTTATTTATATCATCTGTTTTGCTTGGTGAAATCCACACTATAAAAAGTAATTAAAAATTTCAACTCCTTAAACTTTACATAGCACTTAGAAAATTACATATATCTCTAACATTACATTTGATGCATAAACACTTCATATGGGATTTCCTCAAAGTTGTAGATTTGTATGTAAATTTACAGTTAAACCTTACTGAAAAGGGGTCATGTCAAACATGTGAAAGTTGGATGGAATGGTATGATTACTCATCAGATATTTGACCATACTAATTAAAAATGCAAATGACTTAAAGTGTACACTCCCTATAGGTGTCAGTTAGTATATTTGGTGCTGAATTCTAAAGATATAGTCATGGCCCACAGGTTCACCACACTGTGGAAGAAAAATATTTATTTGACCAAACAGGCAATCAAGTGAAATCTATCCTCTTTAAATAAACTGGTTCTTCAGTGTTTTCCAGTTGGTGTAAGTTGTTGTCTGGGATGTCCCCCAGGGCTCTTTCTGCTGTTCCCTGATTTGGTATAGAAAGCAGCCCTGAATGATGGATTACTGTGTCATTGCAGCCAGCGAAGGATTAATTTGTTTCATTGATTTCTCTTTAGGCAGATTGCCAGAATTTGCTGCTTCCCACCTTTCCTCAAGACTTCTAGAAGTAATAGACAGTAATAGTCTAAGACAAATCAGCCCCTTCTTGTAAAACAGAACAAGGAAACGAAGAGTCCTAGGAAAGCTAGGGCGAATATTCTTATTGGCATACAGAGGAGAACAATTAATAAGCTACTTTATTGGCTTTAGAAATACTTTTAATTGGAAAAATTCTGGAATCGATGGCATATAACAGAACATGTAGATTGTAAGTAAACATGTTTATTTTATAAATGTTTTATAATTTGTAGTTAACCTGTTTAGTTAACAGGAGAATGTATATTACCTATGTGATTGGCAAATGCTTTTCTTTCTCTGCCAGATTTAGAAATTAAATAACATTACATAATTTTAAGTCAATTTACTTCATCAGATTTTTTTTTGGTAGAATAATTTGATCCAAAAATATTTTGGAATTTTGGACAATGACAGCTGTATCAGAACATAGAAATGCAATATTTAAAGAAAAAGAAACACAACATTTTATGATTAAAAAACTAGTGTCTCCTCATTAGAGAGAATTTGTAAAAATTAAAAATGACTTTTTTTGTGTTTTTTCAACCCATTTTCCTCCAAGAAGTTAAATATGATTAAATTATTATGAAAGTCACTTATATTTACTTGGCTGTGTTTTAACATATGTACTGTAATTAATCATTGCTCTACTTTTGGAAAATGAGATTCTAATTTTCCATTATTACAAAGTTGTGCATTTAAAACAAATCTTTAATCATATGTGGCTATTTCCACACAATATATTATTAGAGAAAACTAACTTCTCTCAATGAAGGTACAGATTGTTTCATAGAGTCAAGCTATTTTCTAGAAAGTTTCTAGCCATTATATCAATACCCTGAAAAGAAGTTCTCTGTTAGTGCAGCATTCTAATTCATGTTGCATGAGCAAAGATGGCAGGATAACATTCTCTTCCCTGTGCTCTGAAAGAAGTGATAGCGTTTTGCATATACTTAGTGTCTCAGAAGTATTTTTCCAACTGCAGATGTGAAATAAGGAGGCTGGTTATACAAATCTATTTGTTTCTCTTCTGTAGTGCTGAAAATTATATTGATTCAATGATCTCAAGTTATACTTTTTATGCAATTAGTTGTGTAGTAAAAACTAATATTGTCATGTGCTAATGTCTTCTTTCCTCTGTTGTGCTGAGGTGGTAGTCCATGCACCATCAGCAAATTTACACTTTTCCTGTGTGCTACTGAGAGGAAAAAGGAACATCTGTTTCCATTACATATCTGCATCATAATGATAATTAATGAGCCATTATGGTAGTATTCAGTCAATATATTTTGCTGAATGATCTATACTTTCTTGGTGGAAAATTTTAGATCTATCAGAAGCACTTGGATTTTGCAGGTAGTTCCACGTAGAAGTTGGGAGGGCCTTTGAGTACTTTAAGGTAAAGTATTGCAGTTATGACTTGTCTTAGTAACAGCAACCAACATTATTAGGTTTTCAGATGTGACTCTCATGTGTTTCTCCCAACCATGCGTTTTGAGTACAAATCACTGGGCATCATCTCTCTCACTGTTCTTAAATGGGTTTATCAAGCTACCAATATAGCTTATTCTGTCTTTTATGCCTTTTGCGAACTTTTTGTTTTTACTCTATGGAAGAGTGGAAATTAACATAACATATTTCTTTTGTTTTCTTACATTAAGGAAACATAATACTATCTACCCCTGAAAATGTAATACTAAGGATGGAACTGTGGTTGTTGCACATGCTGAGCATATGCTTTAGTGAACTGCATCCCTACCCCCAATATTTACCTTTTAAGTTCAGCAGGAGAATGCTTGAAACCACACACAACTCTTTCCACTGGCCTTTAAAATCCCAGAGAAATGTTTTCATTTATTTTTGCTTTTGGTTACAGATGCTTTGGTGGTTACATAAAAATGATTAAAAAGCATTTCATATGAAAAATGATTGTATGTGCATGTATGTTTATATGTATGTATATCCATTTACTCTAAACTTGGTTGAGAAACATTACCAGTAAAATTGAAGCCCTCTGGAATATGTTCTCATATGGCTTCTAAAGATATGAACTTGTTCTAAGTTTGGTCATTAATGTCTATTTGCCTTTAAAAAATATAGTTTAAATGTGACATCAGTGATTGTGCTTAAATAAGTGAATTAAAAATGTTGGATCTATGACTGCTATTTGAATGTCTATTCACTTCTGATTAGGCATTTCTCTGCTTTACCATCTTCGTCCATGAAGTTGGTTTCTACTGTTATTGTAGCCGTACTTAAAAAACAGAAATTATCATGTGTTCTCTATATATTATTAAAGAAAATGAAAAAGTAAAGATGGAGCTTGGAGAGGCTAGCTAGCTCGACCAGACCATGTAGTAAGTCAAAGAGCAAGAACCCTCAGCCCCTCTGACTTGTACTCCTTTTCCCCTCCAGGGTGTGACGTCACACTCTAGAGTGAGGGGTGGACTCCTCTTTAAGGAGACAGAGGGGTATAGAAAGGGAGGGGATGGTCAAGCAAAAGAGGAAAAGGGTTTTCCCCCCAAATATTTTAATACTTATTTAGGAAAAAATGGTGGAGTTTTATCAATCTAGGAGCTTCCTTCCAGAATGAGAAGACCATGTGTCTCCCAGAGCCTTCGAATTCCTTTTGTATTTTTCAAAAAACCTTCTTGGAAAGAATGATAGTTTAGATACTAAGCAGGTTTTCACTCGTCTCTTTACCTTCAGCTAATTTCCTGACCTCTTTAAAGTAACTGGAGCCTGAAAACACATGTGTATATCTAGTTTTTGATGTATTCCGTCAGTTAGGACTTTAATTACTTTTTCCTTTTTAGAGTTTGTGCTATGTTCACAGCAGAAATGACTTTCTATTTGAAAAGCACTTGTTTTTTGCTTATTTAGTATAAGAGCACGAAAGTGAAAATGGCACAAGGGGAATGCTTTGCAGACATGCTCTCAAAATCTCTTTGGAGAAAACCTTCTAAATGTAGCCGTGTAGAACCACATGCATGTACTTTCTCTTCGAGGCTTTTACTCCAGCAAATTCAATTCATTTTTAGTTGAGATGACTAAACCTGATTCATAATGTTCACACAGGGTCATGATCCTCCTATGAACAATACTGCAGTTAAAGCTCATCTTTTCTCAGATCTGTTCTTTCAAAATCAAACAGCTCGTTTAATAAATTATTTGCTTCCTTCCGTATGGACATATTCTTGGGAACTTATAAAACTATGAATCATACTCTTTAAAAATGACTTTTATTTATTCTTTGAGAATTTCATATAGTATATTTTATTTTTAAATTTTTATTTATTCTTCTCCTATGCAATATATTCTGACCACAGCTTCTCTTCCCTCATTCCTCCTAGTCTCACCCACCTCTCCTCGTCTCTAGATCTAGCCCCTATCTCCCCTCACCCCAGAACAAAGCAGGCCTCCCAGAGACATCATCTGAACATAGCACAACAAGATACAATGAGACCAGGCACAAACCCTCACATCAAGGGTGGGCAAGGCAAAATGGAAAATGGGAAAATGGTCCCAAGAGCAGGCAAAAGAGGCAGGGACATCCACTCCCACTGTCAAGAGCCCCCCAGAACACCCAGCCAACAGCCATAACATATATGCAGAAGACTTAGTGCGGAACCATGCAGGCCCCATGCTACTTCAGTCTCTTTGAGCCCCCATGAACCCTACTCAGTTGATTCCATGGACAGTGCTCACCGAGTGTCCTCCACCCCTCTGTTTCTCACAAGTCCTCCTCCTGCTCTTCTGAGTGGTTCCCTGAGCCCCAGTCTGAGGGCAGAGACCCAGTGGAGAACTCTAACATGGGCTCTCTCTCTATCTAGTTCTAGGCAGTGTGTCTCTGTATCCCCTCCAATCAGCTGCTGGGGGAAGCCTCCCTGATAGTGACTGGACGAGGAATGGATAAATGAGTACAGCAGAACATCATTAGGAGTCATTTCATTGATTTTTTTTTAAGTCATGTTTGGTTCTATCCTTGGTGTCTGGGCTGTTCATTCTCTAGTTTCTGGCCATTCAAACAATGTCAGGCATGGGCTCCATCTCACGCAGTGAACCTCAAGTTGAATAAGACACTGGTTGGCCACTCCCACAAGTTCTTTGTTACCAATGCCCTAGCACATTTTGCAGACAGGACAGATTGTAGGTAGAAGGTATTTTGGCTGGTCTGGTCTCTCAATCCCTCCACTGAAAGCCTTTCCTGGTTAAAGAAGATGGACAGTTCAGGTTCAGTGTCCTCTATTACTAGGAGTTCTCTCTTGGGTCACCCCCATAGATCCCAGGGGGTTTTCACTGCACTAGATTTCTACATTGTCCCCCCACATGCCCTCCAATTCCAATTGTCTCTCCCCATATTCTCTCCCTCCACCACCACCTGATCCCTCCTATTCCCATCCCCACTCTCCCTGAGTCCACCTGCAAATTTTTTCTACTTCCCTCTTCCAGGTAAATCCCTGTGTCCACCCTTGAGGCCTCCTTGTTAATTAGCCTCTTTGGGTCTGTGGATTGTAGCATGATTATAATTTACTTAACAGCTAATGCTGTTAATGCATACTATGTTTGTCTTTCTGGATCCAGGTTACCTCACTCAGGATGATTGTTTCTAGTTCTATCCATTTGCCTGCAAATTTTATGATGTCATTTTTTTTAACAGTTGAGTAATACTCCATTGTATAAATATACCACATTTTCTTTATCCATTCTTTGGTTGAGGGTTACCTATGTTGTTTCCAGTTTCTGACTATTATAAATAAAGCCGCTATGAACATAGTTGAGCAAGTGTCCTTGTGGCAGAATGGAGCATCCTTTGGGTATATGCCCAATAGTGGTATAGCTGGGTCTTGAGGTAAATCAATTTCCCATTTTCTGAGGAACCACCATATTGACTTTCATAGTGGCTGTACAAGTTTGCATTCCCACCAGCAGTGGAGGAGTGTTCCCCTTGCTCCACATCCTCTCAAGCATGAGCTGTCATTTGTGTTATTGATTTTAGCCATTTTGACAAGTGTGAGATGGAATCTCAGAGTAATTTTGATTTCCATTTCCCTGATGGCTAAAGGTGTTGAACATTTCTTTAAGTATTTCTCAGCCATTTGAGATTCTTCTGTTGAGAATTTTCTGTTTAGATCTGTACTCCATATTTTAATTGGATTATTTGTTTTTTTGATATCTAGTTTCTTGAGTTCT